TGTATTCGTGGATACAAACAACTAAAATAAGGCTTCTTTGCTGAGTGGTTGGTTTACGTCTTTGAGGAGTTGAGCTGCAGTTGAGGTTGCTACACCCGGTAAAGATGCCCCCACATACCTACTCCACATGAACAGACCTCGGGCAGCACTAGAAACTTATGGAAAAACTGGAAAGATTTGCATGGAAAAGCACATCTGGGCTGCTGTGCTTTGCCTTCCCTGCTGGCACTGCAGGATGTATGCATAGAGCTAGAATATGGATGGATTAATATAAGGATGAATAAAGTGAAATGATTTATGTACTTTAAAATGTTTGGAGCAAATAGTTTCCATGTAGGGTAAGATGTGTATAGAAAAAAAAATGTAACTTGATAGCAGAGATTATGCAACAAGCCAAAGAGCAGCCAGTCAGCTGACTCTTTATTCCACTCAGATCTACCAAAATAAATCCTATTATATCTTTTCCATGTGTATTTCTTGGTTTCAGTTCTCTCTTCATTTCGAAATGCTTTTGCAGATGCATGCAGACGGACTTGCAGTCCTGCGGGCAGTGAGCTCATGGAGGCGTGTCTGAGAAAACTGCCAGCAGCAGAGGCAGTTGGATAGAAGGCAGACAATAAAATCAAAATCCAACTATGATGCCATGCAGCTCTGGAAGAGATATTTACACAGCTTAACACTTTACCAAGTCCACCAGCAAGAAGAGAAAAGACAGTTGAGGTCACTAAAATGTGTTATTATGCCTCTATTGAAAAGCATTTAACTGCGGTATAAAGAAGTGGGCAAATTAAGTCATTTGGGACCAATTTAAAGTATTTATGTCTATTTTAAAACATTTTTGTCTGTTTGCAGTTTTGTGTTGGCAGAGTTTGTCTTTTTTTTCCTGTCTGTCTAATGAACATATAACATAATAATAAATTCTCTCATTTGCAAAAAGACAACAATGGAGAACACGTCACAGTTGGGAGTATTATTTGTGCAGTGTGTATGAATGTGACTCAATATATGAATGATCAAATCAACCTTTCAGACCCACTAAACCCCTGAATGATTAGTTTGAAATCAGTAGCATAAGGAGATAACCACATAGCACATTTATATGTTTAACTTAACATATGGTTCCATATACAAATCCTGACATGTTTACTGTTATGAAATCGGCTCATGACCTAGTATGCTCTCCTTTTTTTCCCCCATGTGCCCTTCCTGTTCAAAGTTAAGGAAAATTAATTTCTTACTAAATCCTAGACCACATGACATTTTACGTATTGTTGAATAAAAACAAGCAGCTCATCTTTCACACAAGCTCAACTTACCCTTTTTCTTCCTGAAGTTTGACGATGTAACACATGTTTTTGTGCTGTTTTATTGGGGGCTCGGTCTGACTCGTGTTTATAGTTTTATCTTTTTTTTCCATTTTACCTTTGCATTTTGTTTAATCTCCTAATCTGGTATAACTGAAAATGAAGATAAACTGGAAACTTTCCTGGAGAGACCTCTGGCCTCCCTGTTTCAAGTAAACATCATCAAGTCTACCAGCACAGTAGAGACCTGGAACAACATCTTAGCCTCTTGAAGACCCTGCAGTGCTGGAATTGTTGTCCCCTAATATGAGTATAGAGAATAACAAGTTGAGGCACAAGTTAGGCTCCACCAGGGACACTTACATATACCTTGACGTCTACATAGTGTTGGTATAGAGCTTCTTCTAGCGCTTAATAATCGCCTTTATTAGACAACTCAAAGCAGACAGAGGAAAAAAGTGAGAAAAAAGATGGCATGTGACAAGTTCCTTGGAACCAGAAACAAAGATCATATATAGGTAGGGGGTTGCCTCAGAAGAGTAAATAACCAGGATGTCATTATGTTTACAACCCTTTAATAAAATGCAGTTTAAAGTTCACTTGTCACCTTTCCTAATGTCCAATATTAATAGCCAGATAATATAGAAATATACAAATACTGTTAGCAAAGGCAGCATGGTTTACAAAAAAGACTTCATCTATGCCAAAGTATAAAGCAACATTAGAAGCATTTTCAAATTTCACTTTATGAGAGACTTACTTGGAATTAAGCTCGGTAGAGATGACGGTTCTTCTGTGGTCTTTAGCAACTCTTGAGAATTATGTTGCGAGACTTCAGTGAATCAGAACCACAGAGATGATATGTATCATTAAAAGACCAAACACAAACAACTTCAGTAGGTTTAAAAAAAACAAAAACAAAACAACAACTTTAAAACCTCCATTAACACTGGTGCAGTTTGTGGGAAAACGGCAGCAGCAACCTACAAATATTAAGCTGTAAAGCAGGTAAATTAGGCTTGAAATAAGGACATTTAAACCCTTGCAAATCTTAACATTATACTGGTTCCAGTATAATGCTCTCTAGTGACCAGCCATTTGGGATTTTGTGCAACTTGCCTGCCTTTTCTGAAAATATTTATTATATAATAATATTTATTTATAATATTTTTTTCCTTCAACTGTGTGAAAACTGTTTCACACCATTATATTTCTCTTCCAATGATATCTTTGGTTTGCAGCTGAATATTTGGCATCCTTTGCAGCACCGATGCTGAATATTCACCAGAGGCCTGCAATCACACCACTGATATTAAAGGCACAATCTGTAATCTAAATGTTAACAACCAGAAAGATTAAAAACAGAATTAGAAAACTAAAACTGAAAACTTTACCTCTAAGCTATTAATGTTTTCAGATTTTAAAAAAAAAAAAAAAAAGTGCCTACAACAGTAAGGTTTTTAAAGGTCTGAGTAAAACAGACCCATATTTTCAATTATGATAACTGAGATACACACTAACTATTTTCTATTTATTATTTGAATAAAACTTATCTACATAGTAAAAAAAGAGTACAGATTAGGCCTTTAATTAAACCCTTTTTGATATCCTAAACTGAGTTTTAGGTTCAGGACCAATCCTTCAAGTTCACCTTAACTTCTCAGTCCAAGATCAGACTGCTTGTAAAGTGCTGATGATACACTCACATGACTGAGGTAGAACTTTGAGTTTAAACAAGTACATTAATGGTAAAAGGATAATTTACTCATTTTAATACTGCAGTAATAATTAGAGTATAACGACATTTTAAAATTGGGTAATACTGCACTTTGGCTCCTTCTTAAGTTACAGAAAAAAAAAAACTCTTGACTTGGCATATTTTGAGAGGAGATTATAAAATCAAGGTTTCCCCTGAGAGCATCTTGGCTGAAAGGGTGCTGCGGTAAACGGGTCATCCAGAGCTCTTCCCCCAATGGTCCAGGCATGCAGAGGCCCCACAGCCACGGAACCTACGGCGGCCTGCTGACCGATCCTGGAGACGACCCGGTGCACCGCCACCGGCTGCTGGAGCAGAGGAGTCTCCATGTGCACACGAGGGGCCTGAATACCAAGAGACTGAGGAGCAGGAGGGGATGATACTGGGACCAGGTGACACTGTTTGATGGGTTGAATGTGCTGTGTACCAGTCTTAAATATGTGAGTGTTACTAGGAACAGCTCTGGTGGTTTCCTGCCGCCTTCCAAACGGGGCCTGGAGGAAAATATCGGATGCCTCAGCAGGTTTATGAGACACAGAGAAGGAGGCGCTGCTGAATGCCATCTTGCTTTCTTTTCCTGGTGTTTTAAAAGGGGCCAGCTGGAAGACATCACTGACTGGGCTGTTCGGGGGCCGGGGCTGGGACACTTGGTCGGCGGGTATAAACTGCAGGCTGGTGGAAGTAGCTGGTGTTGTACTGTATTGTATGCTCCTTTCATCAGATGGTGACATGTTTTTATCATAAACACATGTGACAGTCCTCTGTTGAATCCTCTGCCTCTGATTCTCCTCAGTCAACTGCACAGAAGCCACATTCCTAGCAGCTTGCAGCGCATTGAGCTCCCTCTGCAGGTCTGTATGTGGAAAAGATGGAAGAAAGGTTTAGATTAAGATAGATGCTGAAAAGCTTTGCTGACCTCTGAATCTCTTATATTATATAAAATCTATTCTTTTGTGATATCATCTATTATCTGTTTTATACTTCAGTGCTGTTTTGGTACCATATTTGTTCTACATGTTACATTTTCTTGTGCTAATTCTGTGTGTTGGTGAGCTATTCTCTTCTGTTCTATTAACCTGAACGATCTTTCTCAAGGGGATCAAAATCCAATGACATATAAGGAAAATCACGTGAGGTTTTAGTGAAAGAAATCATCGTAAAATAGCAAAGATGCAACATATTGTTGTGTTCTTCAAATGGCCAGCATGTTAAGTTTCTTAGCAAGCTCAGATGTTAGTTAAAACAGTCGAAACTCAAAAGATATTTCAGAGTTACAAAAACAAAACAATAACTATACATACATGTAAATACACAACAAGCATCTTTGATTAGGACCTCCTGAATCTGGTTACTGGAGAGTTGTGACCAAGATATGGACTGAACAGGATAATTTAGTTGAAAAGTAAACGTATTAGTGCTCTCTAGTGGACAAACTGTAGAAATGATCCTAACCCGCCCAGCTGCTGGTATATTAAAACATTATACACTCTTGGAAGGTAGAGTTATGGCCAAAAAACCCCCAAACAAAATAAAAATGGATAAATGGGGCATGAAGTTGATGTTTGGTCTTACCTGAGTAGAACTAACCTGCTATCCGAACAGAATAAGAATTTGATTAGTGCGTTACACAAGTGAATCTCACCTATTATATTATCCTACAAAAAGTAATTTGCTAGATAATTTACTCTCGCCCACAGTACTTCATGCAGATATATTTGCATGCAAGTCTGTGTGAAGCATTAAAAGAGTACTTCATTTATTTAGCGTTGCATAACCTACAACATTCTCAGACTGACAGTTTTGGAAAAAAAGGATAAAACTTTTTTAGTGAACATTATGAACCCAGTAATTCTGTGTAAATATCCTGTACTATGATGAGTTATATTAACCAATATTCTTAACAACAATAAAGGACATCTTACAATCAATACTCAACACGGTGACATTCACATTTGTATTTTATTTGCCATCCCTTTATAATTCTTTAATTATCTCACAAAAATAGAAGGAGCACACAATACCACAGCTCTGACGCAGGTTTGGGCCATAAAGACAAGAGATGTCTCAAAAACACTCAATAGTATCAGATAATTGACAGCTTTCATTTTTGGCAAAAAAAAAAAAACAACAACAGAGAAAATGAGGGGCTTCTGTTTCACATCAACGACTAATCTCACTACCTGCTTGGCTTTTACCGATTAAAACAGCACATTGGCGGCTACAGGGAGAAGAAGCTCGGGAGTTGCATAGGTTCAAACAGTAACTGCAAATGATTGAGTTGTTCAGAGGAAGGGTCATAAAGAGGATGATTAAAAACAAAAACGAACTTAAGCCTTTAGTTGCACATGCAGTACCGAGAGTATTCACTTAGGAGAACGCTCCTTTGAAACCAGACACTCCTTCAAGTTTTAACTTATTTCAAAGAGATAATTCAAAATTTAAATCAAGAACTTTACTCAAAATACTCCCACTAATGTTGGGGGTTAATGAATCAAACTGGGATAGTACAGAAACAAATGTGTTTAACCCCATTACCGTGACCTTTCATCATCAAAGAGGATGTGAATTATAAGTCACTACCTCTGCTCCACGTCTGTTCTCAGATAATTAATTTTAAGGTTCAGTTTTGAAGGGATTTATTTTATTCTGCTGCTTTGACTTTCATTCAAACACTTTGTAGTCCATATTACATGTATGTAGGTGGAATATATCTAACTATCATGTGTAAACCCATTAAAATGTGTACGCTTTGTCAGCATTTATCCACATGACACGATGCTTAAATAATAAAAAAACAAACAATAAATCCTGATTATTTAAACCTATTTCTGAATTATTATTCCCCTAGTAGATCTCACAAGACATTCTGCACTTTAAATGTTATTTGAAATTACTTTCTAACCTGACAAAATGATAAACAAAAAAAAACAGGTGGAGGTCGTCTTCCTGCTCTGATCATGCGAGGGAAGAAAAATAACTTTAGTTTGATCCGACAGAAACATTTATATTGCTGATTGGAACAGATTTTTTTTTAAGCCCTGGACCTGCTACAGCGGTCTCACTGTATGACTGGCAGATTAAACCATTTCACACTTCACAGAGCCCCTCACACACACATTACCTATCAGACTAATTGTCTTAACTGTAATATGGAGCGCACACTTCCGGCAGACACTGAGACTGGGGAGCAGTAAGCCAATACATATCCGACTCTCAGAGAGAGAGCGATGGAGCTCAGACTTCCTGAGAGAATTTAGAGGGTTGGTGGGGGGGAGGGGCTGTGCTTTCAGATTTTAATGACAACATGACGACTGTCGCCATATTTGCAGCAAACAACAACACAAGTAGGCTACTGGAAAAACACATCCAACAATTCTGACTCCACGCACACACATACATACTTGTCATAACACTGTATACCAACACACATGAACATAACATTCAACAACACTGCCATGCTTTTCGATATGAATCCTGTGATCACTAAAACTGGTAAAGCAAAACAAAGCTTTACAAAGCACAAGTTCAGAAAAGAGTTTCTAGTTCAGCGATGAAATGAAACAGGACTAAGATTCAAGAGGAGAAGCTCCCACTTTCCAGAAAACTGCTAACGGTTTTGAATAAAAATATAATCCTTCGTCAGTCCATGTAAACAAACATAACACAGGCTCACGTTCTTTTCACAGAGGAAGAAGAGGAGGAGGTGGAATAAGACATGGGATTCAGCCTAATCTCCAGGTTGAACAAGACCAGGGTTAGCATCTATACATTTGGATGTACTGACAATAATTGAGTAGATATAACCAAGAAAAAAAACTTTCTCAACACACAATTCCACAAAGAGGAATGAAATATTTATATAGAGTATTCTTCAATATTATTCAGTGATTATGGTGTTAAGAATCATAGATATTTTTTTATTATAGACTAATATTTATTTCTTACATTCATTCTCTAACACTCTATTCATATTAACATTTATTAACAGGAAAACAATGTCATTTTTCTTTCATATATATATCTATACATATATATAATATATAGATATATAGATGAGATTTCACAAGTAAAGCAATATGTCTTCCACAAGTAAAGCTTTATGACAATGACTTTATATATACACGGGAAGAATAACCAATCCTATGATCTGGATAAGAGCCCGCAGGGGTTGCAGATATCTATTTACATAAATCAGAGTAAACAAATGACAGGAATGTAGGAAGGATTGCACATTGTGGAATGAATGTTTGTGTTCATATTTAAAATAATAAAAATAAAGTGTGAGTGAGAATCACTTTTAAAATGCCACATTAGTTCCTCTTAGTGCCAAAAATGACCTGAATGGTCTCTCTCTATATAACAGCTACTGTAGTTCTACTATTTCCTATTACTGTTGAATATTCAAATTATTTTCATGATTTCATGCATTTTCTATTGATATGGCACACTGCTATAAACATTGTTAAATGACCCCCGATTTGTAATTAAATCCAAAACAACCTATTGCTTGCTTCGGGAATAAAATATAATAGCAGATGACAACGGGTCTTCCTTTGAAAAGTAGAGCTTGTCTGGCAAACACGTTTCCCTCGAATGGTAGGACATTTTATTGTGTTTTGTAGTTATATTTAGAGATTAGCCGATACACTTTTAGAGCTCCACCAGTCAGCAGTTTTCTTCACAAATTATTTTATGGCACTTCACTGTTAAGTCTGATCAGGGGAAACTTTTAGTGTCCTGCTCTTCCCTCCATCACAGCATTAGTGTGGCGTCTGTAGGACGCGTGGTTACGGCTGTTTTGTTTCCAGATTGTTTGATGTCATTTTTCAGTCTAATCTATAGCAGCTTTTAATAGTTAAAAGTTAATAGTTCAGATTCCATACAACAGCCCTGACAGAGGTAATATTTATGCTACTGTGCAAACCAGGCTACATGACAAAGTTTCCCTTTTATAGAAGAAAGAAACTGACCTCATTTGAACAAACGCTCATTTAACTTTTCCATGGATTTACTTTAAAATGTGCAAATAAATCTGGGGAGGAGAATTTAAAAAGGCAAACAACGACAAATTCACTTGTGCACCATAATAACTACAACCACTTATAACTATGCCTATTGTACATTACAACAATGATCTTCTATTGTTTGCTATTAGACATAATGCAAGATTCTTCAAACAAACGGGATAGCAATATTATATCCTGATTGACAGAAAGATGGTTCGTCTTTAGAAAGGATGACATTAGTGTACTGGCCACTCTTTAATGAATGGACGATACATGACGTGTGGAGACTACAACAAAGAGAAAATGTGAGTGAGAGGGTGAGAGGTGAGAGGTGAAGAGAAGCCAGATAATGCAATCGATAAGGCGGAGAGGGCAGGTAATGAAGAAGCACTGAAAGGCGAAGGCTGTTTCTACTGTAGGAACTAGAATGGAGATGACAGCCGGGGGGGGGGTGCAGGAAGCTAGCTATGACAACAGTGTTGATTGCCGTTATGCTATGCCAGTCTATAATCCAGTGTTACAGCTTCTACTGCGGGGAGGGAGGGGGGCCGCCTACAAGTCGATGAGCTGGTCCACCAGCAGCAGGGAGCGGGCCAAGCTGGGCAGGCTGGATTCAGAGCCGCCACTGTTACTGCGAGAGTGGCCTCCTGAAACTGGCCGGAGAGACAAAGGAGGGGGTGGGAGGGGGAGGAGGCAGAGGAGGAGACGAATACAGGCAAAAAGAGGAGGGGGAGAAGCAGAGGAGCGAACAAGAGTCACAACAAGCAAACACAGCAGTCAAGGAGGGGGAGAGAGGTCGAGAAAGAGAGAGAGAGAGAAGAGAAAGGGCAGAATTTACCCATTTAATGCTACTGGTTTTAAAACATTATTAGCTCTGAGATTGGAAAAACAGTGCAGGCACTTCATCCTGTTATCAGTGGGTTTGACTATTGCATTCATTATTTAGCAAATCAGCATGCAACTGAGGGGAACCCCATAAACAGCCGACCCCTGTGTCTTTAATTGCAAAGACCCGACCCGTGTGACCCACCTGGGCTTCCTTATGGAGAAGGGAACAACTTACCTTGGGAGTTCTTTCGGCCTGTGACGGGAATAGGATCAAACTCGTCCTCTGTGCCGGCCTCTGCAGTGGCTTGCTGGGGCTCAAAGTCTGAGATCAGAAGAGATGAGTCTGCTGGGGATAAAAGAAAGGTGTTGATATCAAGGTAAAGGTTTGTGCTGGAAAAAAAACTTTCCATGAAGGGGTGAAGCGATAAGATATAAGCAGCGGTTTTCCCTCAATACAGTCTTCAACATCATAACACAATTCCTAAAATCTGCAGTTGAAAAAGAAAAAGACATTGGAAACTCTACAAAGCCTGTTTGATAAGATATTATGAGGAGAGATCAGTAATTAGGATCATGCAGCTGGTGCGCACAGTCAGGCTGTGATTCAGAGTTGGCAACGTCAACGACAGTTGGCAACGTCAACGACAGTCAAATGCCTTCGTTCAGCAGCCAAGAAGCAACAACTAAACCGCAGCTGCGGTGCTCTCAATTTGCGACACACAATGCAGTTTTACAGATTATTCCACTCAAAAGAAGCACTTAGATTTTTTTTTTCTACTTAAAAACTTGACTCAAGTTTATTCATGTGAAATAGATAGCATATTTAAGCAGGGCCATATATAGTAAGTAATATATTGAATAGATAAAGTTTTGAGTTTTAAATGTTACTTTAATATTGAAATTTAACTGTCTGTCAAGATTAATTTGGATTAGATGAATTGGTTAGGAGGTGACGTAAAAAGTTTCTGCTGCCACCCAGTGGCTGAAAATGTTACTGTTCACTCAATTGTTAATGTGACAAAGTTGACATCGCTGGCACCGTTGGAGTTGGAGAGTCGATGTCATTATCTGTTACAGCATATACAGTTTATCTGCTCTATGAACCACTTCTTCTCCTTTGAGAAAAATCAGAAACCAAAAGGGAGAAATTTATACTTTATATTTTTTGGTTTCATGATGGCGGCGTTATTTGCTTTAAGTTGTCACAATACTGTTAGTTCTCTGTAGCCATACAGCAGCCTGCTACACAACACAACAAGCACAGACCTTGGACAACAACCTACATTGTCTTCCCAGCGAAAGTCTCCTTATCCAACTTCAAAACATGAACACACATCTTGTCCTGCACTTTAGCTTGCTGAATGAGCAACCAAACAAACACTCCCCAGGGAAAAGTATACTGCCACCATCAGTATGTAGGCTGCTTAGCTAACTGATGCTATCTGGTCAGGTGCAGCAGATTAAACATACTGGGGCGCCGCTGTGCTTAGCCTTACTCTTCTGTACTACTGCTGACAACACACTGTCTACCTGTGGCTTGTAAGCTACAGCGCAAGCTTGTTTACTTGTGTTCTCTCTTCCCTAAACCCACTTTTTCTTCTTTTTAATAATAAAAAACTATAAAAAAAAAAAAAAAGTCATAAAAGATTACTGAAAGGCAAAATCTAATCAAAGTGGAAGTATAGTTTGAAAAGTGTGTGATACTTTGCCTATTCTTCCAGTTTACCTGCTTTAGGCTGTGCGGATTCTCCAGACAACAGGCTGAAATCATCCAAAGCAGAGGCAGCGGATGTGGGAGCAGAAGAGACAGAGGAGGTGGCACTGCTTGCTGCCGGCGGGGCAGCCGGACCAGAGATCAGAGAGCAGCCCAGGAGAGAGTCGTCTGCAGTGAGAGGGTCTGGACAGGTCAGGAGAAAAGAGGGTCAAGTTTAGCTGTGGTCCAAGTACAAGAGGACAAGAACACATGATTCTAAGATCTACAGTGATACATGCATTAACTTTCTGACTTAGATTATTTCTACTATTTACAAAGCTGTGATATTTGAACATCATTTAGCTCTTAGAAACCAAATACCCATGGTCTCAATAATGTTACCTAATAATAATAAAAATCTAAAGGCTTTGTGGGTAATTGCAGATACATAACTTAACATACTATATTTAGAGCATTTTCACTGCTTTACCTTGCTGACAGACAGTCCTTTCTGAGGTGTTATAGGTGTTATATATAGAAACTGAGGTGTTATACAGATTTATGCTCTATTCAAAGCCACCAGAGTCCTTTGACAAAAAACAGTCATTTTACCTGACAGAACCAAGGAGTTGCTTGTCCACCGCTGCCTTGATCGGTTAGTTTGTGTTATTGTTACTGTGTGACTTTGGTGTTTTAACATGTTAGTTTGACTTGCACTTGGACTCTGGTTTACCAACCACTCAAAATGCTTTACACACTCATGAGACCCACTATTAACACATCATTCATACATTGATGGAAGAGGCTGCAGTTTGGATCAAAACTAATGTTAGTTGCTGTGGATCGAGGGAGTGGTAGACCAGCAATTCCCATATGCTGCAAGGTAAAATTACTGTTTTTGACAAAGGATTCTGGTGGTTTTGGACAGAGTGAAATAACTGCTTCGGTTTCCTGTCAGAAAGGGCTGTCTGACAGCAAGGTAAAGATGTGAAAATCTTCTAAATATAGTGTACACTTAAACTAAAAGTGATTGTTTTGGTGAGTCTTTTTTTGAAATATAAAACATGTTTGTCTTTCTGCTTCTCCAGACTGGGGGCGTTTTTTGTAAGTAATACACTATTGACTAAGGATAAGTACCTCATACGGCCCTACTTGAAAAAACCAAAACATCCCTTTAAGCAGGGATTAGCTTCTGTTTTTGGCCTTGACCCCCAAAAAGGAAAGAAAAACAAAATAAATTGAATACAACCATGCACATACACACACATAAACACACCTTTTGCAGACTCTTCCACGGAGCCACCGAAGGGATCAGACAATGACAAGAGGTCGGGAAGCATGAGTGAAGACGTGTCTGGAGATTTGAGTCCTTCAATCAGCTTCGCTAAAGGCCAATGGAGGTTTAGAGACAATAAAGGAGACTTACTTGAGCAAAGTGAAATGACAACATCAGCTGTAGCAACAACATCAAAGAAAAATACCATACAAAGGTGCATTTGTGTGTACAGTGTGGATCCACAGAGAGATATTTACCTGGTGTGTCTGAGAGTTCGAGGGTATGAAAAGGATCTGGGACGATCAACAGCGAAGCTCCTAAATCAAGACTGGCTGATGGTTGTTCAACTAGGAGACAGAAGTTTTATCATTGATTTATAACCCATCATCAAGTCTAAAAATGCATTATGGGAGAAATCAGATTTTTTTCAGTTGGTGTGTCTGAATACAAATAGTTGTTTAGACCAATTACAATGATTAATATCAAGACAAGTGTGTTATCTGCAGCTGGTATTGAAAACTGACCTTGGGTGCTTTACATCCACTTTTTCAAACAGCATAAAATGTATTCATATCTCTAAATAAAAGGCAGTAATTCATTAAGTGTATTTTTATCAACCAAACAGACCAAATGACGAAACTTCATAAGCAGTGAGACTCTAAAGCAACGGTCTTACCTAATGCAGTATATACGCAGATCAATTTTTAAAACTATTCTTTCTTGTTAAAAGGAAACATAAAAACCAGTGGTTACATTTGCTGGATACAGCATTAGCATCGTTCTTTCATTCTGACCAAACCCTTTATTTTATTTATGTGATGCACATAGGCTGTGGTTGCTTCTGAAAGCTTCTTAAAGCTATCAGATTAATGGATCAGGTGCATTAAGAGCTTTACCTCTTGGTATGACGTTACATTATATTCCTGCAGAATCAGTACAATGCATTATGTGACATTAGTGCAACAGTGAGGTATTAAAGCGGGGAACAACTTACAAAGAGATATTTTTCAATAATTTTTTAAAATCTCAGGTCAAGTCACCTTTTATGTCCACAAACTCGCTTGCTAACTCATGCTAATGTCTGACAGTTGACAGGAATGAACACTTGAATTAAGCACATAATCGCTGTGGGGGATGGGAGGGCAGGTAAACACAGTCTGTTTAAATAGCAACATCTGTGATTGCACATGTTAAACATAAACCAGTGTGTTCCTACTGCTGTTAATGAACACATTAGGTCTGGTGTTTTTAACAGGCTGGAGGAGGTTTCACTCTGTTATTTGCTTTCTGAAAATTGGGTAGTTGTCTGTCACTGAACTGTGTTGCTATTATATATATATATATATATATATATATATATATATATATATATATATATATATAAATAAAGGAATATCTTAACCGACCAGGTTTACACAAGTTGTTTGTCAAAATCTGAAACATGGGACTGTTTCTGTACAAGAGCTCGTACAGGCACAACATATTTCACCCGGACTTGAACCCAACTAATACTGCTGTCTAATTTTCCTTCTAATGGGTTTAAAATTAAATAAAATATCTTTCCAGTTTGACGAGATTAAATTCTTATTGCACATTTGTTTGTTCCAGTTCCTTGTTGGTGTTTCAAGCTTTATGACACATATTATTGTATAAGGATTTAAATAATTAAATCCAAAGACACACAGATGGGAAGTGTCTGTGTATTATCCACCATAATACGACTGACATACACTATCTGCTTTTTATTCTAAATGGCTAGAATTAAAAATGTGTCTTCAGTCTGAACTGTGTTTGTTGGTACAGTGTGAGTTTGTGATGATGTCCCTACAGGGTCTGTGGGTCCAGAAGAAAGAAGTGACACATACCAGTTTCTTGGGGTGTATTATCCACAGTTGAGGCCTGCAGGCCTGGTATCAACTCCTCAACTCCCGAGTCAGATGTTGACTCAATTTCTGAAGGTAAGTCTGTAAGGAAGAAATTTGCAGTTATTAACAGTTTATCACAGATTAAAGATACTACACACATACATGTACACACAATGTTTACCAGCAGGCTTTTTGTCCTCAGTTTTGAATTCATCTGCAGTGAGGTTGGAGAAGTTGTCATCGTCAAACGGGTTCCACATGGGCTGTGTGGGGGTGCTGGTGTCACCGCCAGTCGCAGGAGCAGTGCTTCCATCTTTGCTTTGGTCCTGTCCTGCATCACCAACACCAACACCGAGCTGAACAGGTTGGGCGGAGCTTGGTTGAGATGTAAGTGATCTACAGGTACAAAAACACCCAAAATATAAATAAAACAAACAGGAGAAGACTTGAATTTGGACTAATCTTCAGGTTTATTGAAGTACACGTGCCACTTACTGGTTGAAGGCAGTGCCTCCATTAGCTCCTTGTGGCTGCTGTGAGGAGTCACTCACTGGGACGCTAGAAACGATGCTAGCTATGGCATCACTCGGTATGCGCTGGTGGCCCCGTTCTTCAGTTGTCTTTGGAGAAGCAGGTGGAGTCTAATCAAAAGAGGCATGAGATGAAAATGAAATAAACACAGGTCTTATATTGAATACATTTTATGGCTCAGTCTCTCTGTCTTTCTTCTCTCTCTGTCTCTCTGTCTCTCTGTCTATGTGGATGAAGAGAACACCAGGCCATGCCACTTAAAAGATTATGGCCAAATAAAAAGGAAAGAAAAGTAATTCATTCTGACAGATGATGTTCGGACAGTTTGAAGCTTACCGTTTCAGATGCTCTTTGGCTGATCTCGGTGGAGGCGGGCTGAGCCTGGGCAGCTGCAGGCTGAGTTATCTGCTGCTGCTGCTGAAGAGATGCAGGCGGCTGACCAGGGGCCGGTTTGTTGGGTGAAGGCTGAGCCGCTGGCTGCTGAGCCGCTGGCTGCTGAGCCGCTGGCTGCTGAGCCGCTGGCTGCTGAGCCTGGGCGGCCTGCTTGCGTCGAGCTGGGCGTTGAGGTGGGGCCGGGCTCGATGGAGTCTGCGCCTGCTGGGAGTTGGCACCGACCACGGAGGGAGGTGTGGTCTGTTGCTGAACTATTGGCTGTGCTTGCGGTTGAATGTCAGTCTTGGTCACTGGTGACACGACTGCTGCTGTAGTAGTCTCTGCCCCTGTAGCTGCTGCTGGCTGCGCCGGCTATCACATAAAGACATGTGACAGAATCTGTTGTCATTCAAAAGGCTACGTTTGCAAGCCACCTTAAATAACTTAATCCTACAGGTAACAAAAGCAACTTTTACTTTGTAATTTGTGTATGGCTGATACAAATGGTTTCGATGTAATTTATTGGCGTGTACCTGCTTCTGTGGAGCCGTAGCCTGACTTGAATTGTTTTGTGACGGCAGAACTGCAGTCTGTGCCTTCTGTGACTGCAGAGCTGCAGCTGGCTGAGAGAGGTCTAAGCTGACTCCTGTGGGATGTAAAAAAGAGCACAGACTACACATTACTCAACAGCATGGAAAAATGTTCATCTTAAATGGTCCAATGTGCAACATTTAGGAGGATCTATTGGCAGAAATTAAGTATAATATTCATGTAGGTGTAATCACCATATAGGAATGTTTGTGTTTTTGTTACCTTAGAATGAGACGTTTTTATCTACAGTTTTCATCTGGAGTGCCCTATGTTAAACCGCTATGTTTCTACAGTAGCCCAGAAAGGACAAACCAAACACAAACCACTGTATTTTCTCCTTCACGCTTGGAAGGGGAGGGTGAAACAAGGGAGTTGCAATCTGCTACTACACTGCCACTAAATGCCGATAAATCCTACACACTGGACCTTACTTATACAGATGCACAACAATGTAAATATCAAGCAATATAAATAAGTTTATTGGAGCATTTGAGATAATGTTCAAATGAAACAACCTACAAAAGAGGATTATATAACCTGTTTAAAGCTGATAAAAGACATCAAAGTGATACATAACAGGTACAATAAATTATAACAAAAGCAGTGTGTTCAGAGTGTGGAGAAAATCATTACATAATCACTTTGGGCCTGTGGTTAGATTGCTTTAATTTGCACGAGTCTTAACCTGCATACTTGATCTGATCCTGTTGAGAATTGTAGCATTAAATGTGTGCACAATGGATTAGAAGGATTCCTGTCTTTATGCACATCTTTATTCAAAAGCTCACTTTCTTTTCTTGTGATGGGTAAGGACGGAGTGCTGTACGTACCCACAGGCTGAGCTACACCACCAGGGAGATTAGCCCGCTTGCGAGGGGTGAGAGCAGCAGGCTGGATGGGTAAGATGCCAGCCGCAGGCTGGGTATGTGCTGCTTTGGGCCTCTGGCGAGGGGTGATGGAGGTTTCAGTGGTGGGAATTGGATCTGTCAGTCTGGTAACAAAGGGAGCATGTTGGCCATCTTGTTAATCGTGATAATATAATTATTTAATGAGTATCAGAATACTGACTGTACCTAACTACTTCCACAAAATGTAGTGTTACTACAGCTTTAATGGTAATAAAATGTAAGCAGGTCATGCTTGCCTGGACTTAGTCTGGCTCTTCTTTGCTGCAGCAGCCTCACTTGCTTTGATTGGCTCAGGAAGTTTAGAAGGAATTTGAGAATTCTGGATTATGGGAAAAAATTGTTAAAGAAATCTTGAATTTGAAAAGAGCAGTATGAGTGACAGTGGCATACAGGCACCACTTTGTGATTCTTGCAGTTGGCAGTAACAATGAAGAATATCATTAGTGCTAACAAGCATTTTCTACAGTATGCAACTGATGAATTACTGTAAATTATCCTCCCACTGCCTGACAATTGGTTACGGTAGAGATCCTACAGCAGATCCCACTGAATACGACATGAAAATCAATTCCTGATGAGAGAAAGCCAAGCAAATCAAACTATTTCAGCTGACGTTAGTGCTGAGAGAGACTGACCTTCACATTCTGAACAGGGCAGGTCCGCTGAGCCAGTTTAAAAGCAAAGTAGGACACCTGGTAGATATCTGGTCTTTTGTCTGGGTCCGGCTCCAGCATGTACCCTGAAAAAACCCCATGGAGAATCAAGAGAGTGAGACGTGAGAAGTGGAGAGTTATAAAAGCCAGGAAGTAGATATCTTCACAACCAGAAGTGCACACTGAATTTGATGTTGTTGAAAAATAAGTAACGTTTATTAGGGACTAACGAATGAGGCAGTGAAGATCATAAGAGTAGCGGGAGTTATCTGGAATGGTGAAACTGCCATCACAGATGGCCACCTGGCTTTCACCAAAGGGCAGAGTGAAGAAGCACAACTTGTACAGCAAACAGCCCAACGCCTGGAGAAGACAATCGCATGCCCCGTCGCACCAAACACAAGAAGAGAAGAGAAGATGAGATGAGATAAGAGATTAATCAAGAATACCAGCAGTACACAGCAAATCACACCACAAATACCTTTTCCCCTCTAAAACACCAGCTGGTGTAAGGATAAAAGCTATGTATTCAGTCACATTGCAGAAGCCCCTGTCATGATTATCACAGCAGTCGGTCCTCTTCACTCACCCAGATATCTGCTTTTGTGGTTATAATCTTGTTATTGTAGAGGTTCACCATCTCAGGGGCTCGATATGATAAGGTGGTGTATCTGAAAGAACACAGGAATACATTAGTAAGAATAAAACAGGACAAAATTAGTAGAAAAAATACTGTTTTTTTAATGCGGCAGTGCAATAATGTGCTCAGAAATGTGAATGAAATTTAATCCATTACAAATTCAATCTTGCATCAGGCAAAACCTGCTTTGCAGTCACATCAATATATTTACAGTGTTGTGCAGAACCCTAATGTCCATAGGTGGATGAGGGGAAGAATTCAATTAGTTAAACAACAAAGCTGCTCATAAATGAAAAACTGCTGTGTTTCTGTGCAGCCATACCTAAAAGGAGTGCTAATGAACGAAAGCAGCAAATATCGCAAAAGCAGATAAAAAGAGGCACAAACTTTTTGATCTCTTCCTCCACGGTGGCCACTCCTTCCGTCTGTGGACTCTGGAACTTGTTAGTGGCGCTGCCAAAGTCACACAGCACATAATGACCCTTGTCATGCAGGAGGATGTTCTCCACCTGTAGATATACAAAGAGATGAGACTCCTATGCAGTCACAACACAGGGTGATACATGAAAGGACCCAATTTAGAGTTTAAGTGTTAGGAGGTGGTGCAGTAATAGACCTATTCTGCCAAGTCAAACACAGATTCTTCCCTCCTGGAACCTGTGCACTTGAGATAATGATGCAAATACAAAAATCAAGGTGAGACCAACTTCACATTATGACACATGCTCCTATGATTCAGGTTTTCTTTTATGTAAATCAAGAAATCTGCACTGCAAAGAAAAATGTGATGTTTCCATGACACAGAGTAAATCTCTTGAGTGACAGTAACTTAAAATTAATGAGACAACCACACTGCAGTTGACTGGGCTCTGCAGAAATGGAAAGTATTTGAAGTATATTTTGACAACTGACAATCTCATCTATCCTCATATTAGAGCTTTCCATAATTAAACACAGCTTCAACTCGCACAAACATATCAATCACGAGTCTTCAAAAGACATCACACAGCATGGTGACCCATCTCCACACTTTGTTTTAGCGTTGTTGCCAGCACTAGCGAAAAGTCTGGCTGAACCCATTATCATCCTGGTGTAGGGGGAAAAAAAAACACTCAGGCTTGTGTGAATTCCTAAACCAGCCACAATGGGCGCTAAGCCTAGGATGCTCTTGCTAAATAGTGTTTAGGCTTGTTTTGGTGGAACATTTGCATGTTGGGAGGTGAGCCACAGATGCCATTTTCAGCGCGAGAGTTGAGTTACTAGCTCGGGAAGTTGTCGTTTTTCCTTGCCTTTGTAAAACAGTAACACACAGATACCGGAAAAAGAGGAAAATGCCACCTGAAATAATCGGCCAATGGGAGGCTTGTATCAACAGCCTACTTCCTTTGAGTCAGACTAACACAGAAAGGGCCGCCTGTTCTATCCTACGTCCTGCAGAGCATTACACAAAGCACAAGCGGCCAAATGTGTCACCTTGAGGTCTCTGTGGACGATGGGTGTCTTGCGCTGGTGCAGACGAGACACAGCATCACAGGTGTCACAGAAGATCTGCAGCACCTCCGCCTCGGTGAAGCCAGTCTGCAGCCTCTGATTCATCAAATTGACCACCTGCCCCCCTGCAAAATATTATCCAGTTATACAGCTGCATCATATTCAAACTGAACATATATTCTTTTATAACACTGATATTGTCCCTACTCATTAGTTAATAAGGTTATTTTTTCTGAAACTCAAAGTCCCATTTTCCTTTCAGCACTCACCCTTGCAGTAGTCCATAAGTATGAGAACCTCCCATACATCCCTTGATCCCATAGCTGTAATACTGGAGTCCAGATACCCAACAATATTCTTGTGACCGACAAGGTCTTTCTGCAATGACACAAACACACATTCAAGAGCATTAACAAACCACAGTGCATAAAAAAATGTTGTACTAAAAAGCACAACTACTGCTGAGTTGTTGCATAGTGTGCACATAGTATGTGACCGGTGAAGTGAATGATTAGAAGTCTTTTTATAATGACTCGATTTTGCACTTTGAATGAATCAGAAAAGACACGACAGGAGATGACAAAAATTATTTGCGACACAAAGAAAAGATGGAACAGGACGGAGATATTTCCAGATTTGACTGCAATGAATTTTAATGCCACAACCCTTTCCTTCAATCTGGTCAGTGTTTTGTGGTACAGTGTGAGGCCATCGCCTGCAGAGGGAGCTGCACGGGACAGCTGAAATCAGGAACCTATTAGGTAATGAAAAAATGTCAAGCACTGCAGCTGAGGTGAAGCACTGTCTGTCCGTCTGTCTGTCTGTCTGTCTATGTGTGTGTGTGTGTGTGTGTGTGTATGTGTATGAGTATGAGTATGAGTATGAGTATGAGAGAGAGAGAGTGAGTGGGTAAGTGAGAGAGAGGGAAAAAATGAGACTGAGAGGGAAAGAAAACATGTTATATGATGAAGAAGAATGACACCAGACATCATGTTTGAACTCAGTTTTAGGGTCTGTTAGTGTTGGTTTCAAAAGCAAAACTAGTTCCAGAGTTTTTAGAATGTATGTTTGTAATTCTGTTGAATGTTTATAAAATCAGCCACTTTTATGTAATTTGACCAGTGCTTCCTTCCTTCCTTCCTTCCTTCCTTCCTGAGTGTTCCTTCAGACATGAAAGAACAAAATTCTGTGTATGAACTCCACGAATGTAGGAGTCCAGAAAAGAAAACATTCCCATCAAGAACTACAAGACGATCCGTTAAGAATTACAAATAACCCCAAAAAGTCATTCTACAAGACATCTCAGGAGGTGAGCAGGACATGTAAGACAATACTATGAAAACAAAAACAAAGCACACCAAGAACCAGATGAATAAATACAGTACAACCACCCAAACAACCCTGCTGCAGGCTGTGTGCGTACCCAATTCAGCACTTGTTCTAAGTTATTCTGGACGGATCAGAGAACTTGCAGCTGTGGATTTCTTGGAAATTTTCAGGCACAATTAAGAGTTTCAGAAGACATTTGTTTAGTAGTTGCTTTCGCATGTGGTTTAAACCCCAGCAGAAATTCACATGAGCTCAGTGTGAGAACAAGTAAGAGAAAATATTCAACCTCAGCGACTCACCATTATCTGAATCTCGCATTTGCACACCTGCAGATCGTGTTCATTGTTGACATACATCCTCTTCAGGGCACAACGCACCCCTTGATTTGTTCGCACGAGGAACACGATTGCAAAACCGCCTGCAGGATTGAAAAAAACAAAAACAAATGAAACTGTCAGACCTCAAAGAGATGATGATGACATGTCAGCAAAACAGTTGGGCAACAACCTGGATGCACACTAGACTGTTACAATCAATGCAAAACTTAGGTTGACTTAGGTGAAAGTCTCATCACACCAAGTTTTCTTAGGGCATCGTGATTTTGAGCATTTAGCTGACACGCTAGTTTTTACACCCAATTACTTCAACAACTGTTGTCATTTGTGTCCATGTGTAGCCTTACATCAATACGGTCGATCGGGACCAAATGGTGCAGCCTTATAGCGTTATGTATTAGTCATGCCATTGCTGCAGGGTTTACGTAGAGGCCTACATTGAGGCCTAACCATCTGGTATAGCTCAGGCCACAAATTCACTTTGCTGGGTTTAGTTGTGACAGAGTCATCAATTTCAGGCAGACATTGCGGCCTTATACTGCACCCAGTGTGATGCGTTATTGAATGGCAGCGTAGCACTATAAATCTGCAAGACATACCTATGGACATGTGTGTGCAGGTTGAGGCTGAGGGTTTGCATCCACGTCTAAAGCAAATATTGATGTACAGTAAGTGATGTGCAGACAGTGGGATCAGTTCAACAGTACAACACTGTCCTCCTTTATCATTCTCTTGTTAAAGTCCAAAGCACTTATGTTCAGAGAGATTGTTTAACTTCAAAATTTTTGAAATATAACTATAAAAACAGCAAAAACGTTGTACTTCCAGGTTTAAAATAATAAATAAAATCACTCTATTTTGGGCCAAGTACAGGCCTCTACTTCAGCAGCACTAATTTAGTGCTGATGCCCAACAGTCCCTACCCCGGTATCAATAAAGAAATTCAGCAATCATGTGTGATCTACAGATTGCACTGTACACTCACCCTCCTTTTATTCATTTAAAAAAGAAAAAGATCAAAGAACTGCTGCAACTGTTCTGCACCAGGTAGGTCTCCATCTCCTTGAATCACACTTCTGAATCATAAAACAGCTAAACAGGAAACTGTAGTGTTAGTCAGAGTACAGCTGAGAGAAAAGCAGTAGGCCTCTAGTTTATGTATCCAAGATACATGTCTGCGAAGCTCCATCATTCCTGTGGGGATGACATAAGGTTGCATCCCTGTTCTGTCATGTGACTCATGCATTTGGCTTGAGGATGCAGGACGCACACATAAATATACTCTCGCTTCGACAACATGCATGAAAATAAAAAAGTAATGGGGGAAAAAAACAAAACAAACAAAAACAAACGGCACCATCTGGCTTCGTGCAACCCCTTCTCACCTTCAGCAATGATCTCCTCAACAGTGACTTGGTGCCGCCCGACAGTGAAGGCTCTGCCAATGAAATTTCCGCCTGCATGACTGGACCCGGAGCTGCCACCTCCTCCTCCAGAACCAGGCCCAGAGCTCACCAACTCCCGACGAGAATCAAAGAACTTCCTCATGTTGTCGAAACGACAGGAGGAGTATTTTATTTATTTATTTATTTATTTTTTGTTGCGGCTTCAATCAGAGACGAGCTGCCCCTGTTTCCTGTGCACTGAATTACTGCACCAACAGATAACGCAGGGCAACAGACTGCAAACCTAACGAACCCCGGCCGCTTCGAGCAAGTCTATTTGCAGCCTCGAAACACGCAGTGGTGCCTTTGCCACTTAAGATGATGTTGAGACAACCCAGATTTTTGGTGGCAAATTTCCCATTTGCTCGCCAACAGAAGAAGCCAGTTGGTGATAGCTAGAGCGGTTTGCGACTAGCTGTTATGTAAGTGAATTACACCACCCAGGAGGCTAAAGCATCTCCGGACAAAGTATTTCTTTAGCTATCCATCCAGCTGTTCATGGTCGGCTGCTGATGATGATAACAGTAGGTCCCTTCTCCATCTCGTCCAGCCATTACCGAGCTAGCTAAGTGCTAGCTACTTACGCGCTATGACATTTCGTGTAAGGTTATCCAGGTTATCCTCTGAAGATAATGTCTCCGAGAGCGATGTGTCCGACGTGTAACTTGTGTGATAGCGTTGCCCGAAAATATCTTTCCATCCTCAGTCAAGTGAAGCACACGGTTTGGTGGCACATAGCTGCCCCGTCTAGCTATTTAATTGCTCCCATTTGCGATAAAACTATGATTTCACTAAAGCTAACGCGTTAGCGCGATGAAGCCTCTCATCAACACAAACAGACGCAGAGTCGACAGGAAGCTACAGAGTCCGCTAGCTGCGACTGGAAATGACAAAGCACGGTATTTGACATCTACCAAAACATTAGGCAGAGGTTTCAACCCAGCAGCCTAATCTCTGCAACCACAGCAATCTTTGGCTGCCAGCGATATCGCAACATCCTAGCTGTTGCTGTTGACGCGCGCACGGGATTGTGGGTATTGGAGTTCAGAGCGCAGCTGCAGCCTCCCCTCCCCTCCCCTCCCCTCCCCTCCCCTCCCCTCCTCTCCCCTCCCCGCCCCGCCCCTCCCCCTCGCGTTTAGTGGTCGTATGCCGCGTTCAAGTCGGGTAGCTAAGTCCGTCTACGAGCAGCGTGGAAAAAAACCCAAAAGCTATGTAGTTTTAGTATTTTGACTGGAAGCGTCGATACGTCCCAGTTTGTGAAAAAAAGAACTACAGTAGAGTCAGTGAACCTGTGGCAAAATGGCCGCAAAGCCATATTCAATACTGGCTGGTTGGGCTAATTAAAAAGAAACCATACACAGGTTTATAGTGGTGGGGAGTAACTAATTATTCTCAAGTTCTTTACTTACTTTACTTGAGTATTTCTACTTTATCAGAATCAGAAATACTTTATTGATCACTGGGGGGAAATGCGTTTGTTACACACATAAATACACAATAATATAATATCTAACACAATATACAGAACAGAAATGTATGTATAGGTATATACATAAGTTAAAGTAAATAATACATAAAAATAAAAACACAATAAGAGACTAAGAGATATAATATGATAATAAGTAAATGTAAACATATTCCACAGTGACAGAAATTGAATAGCAATGAGTTTATGATGCTTAAACTTACTGGTTACTTTTCAGATTCATATTATTTACACAAAACACAAAATATAATCAACAAATACATCCTAAAATAAAATACAAAAATAATTGCAAAAACATATGGACATATTGAATACTTACAACTATTTCTGCTATAAAAGTAGACAATAAATAAAACAAAAACATTATCACTGATTAAACTACCCATGTGTCACTCTGGGCCTCAAGTAATTGTGAGGACATTTCTAATTATTTTCTGAATTTTTACAAACCAAACAATCAATCAATTAATGATTAAAATAATCAGCAGATTAATTCATAAAAAAAAAATTATCAGTTGCAGTCCTATACAGAATAGTTCAGAAATAGTACAAAACTACAACAGTAAAGTCCCAATTTTACAGAAATGCATGACTAATAATGATCTAATACTCTATAGAGTAATATAACAGTTACAGGGGACATTTTCCTGCACTTTTTAGTACCTTTAAGTACAATTTTCAATGCAGGCCTTTTACTAAGTAGCCTTATAAGTAGCCTACTTCTACTTAAGTAAACACTCTGTATATTTCCCTCCACCACTGCTTGTAACTAAAGCTGTCAGATAATTGTAGTTAAGTAAAAACAAAAAGTGCAACATCTGTCTCTGAAATGTGGTCGTTTTCCCCGTTGACCGACAGTCAGCGAACGCAGCAGAAGTTCGCAGGGAGGACCCTGTTTAAAAAAAAAAAAAAAATTGCATCCTGGTGGGTGGGACGTGAGAGCAGCTGGTAGTTATAAGCTTTGAGTTTCCTGGTACGGTGACGCTTGACCCTCTCGCCGGGCTCCGCACTGAATAAACCCTCTTCAGGTACAGGTGAGCTGGAGGTCACAGTTCGCTTTGTTCTGGTTCTTTGTGGTGGTTTTTGTTGTTGTTGTGGTGTTTGATTTGATACAGCGGAGCTCAGACTGAGGCGGTCGGTCCTTCTGTCTGCAGGGTGTGCCCAGTAACTCCATGCCAAGATACTTTAACTTACCCAGCTCTGCTTCCTGAATAACTTTTCATACGACATTTTCTTTGCATTGTAATAACTCAACTACAATCTCAGTTTTAGACTTAAGGGGACACATTTCAGTTGTAATAACTACTTTGGAAACGAATCTCCTGCTGTTATAACCTTTCCTACTATTGCTCAATTTCCAGTGAACTTGCTGTCGTTGTAGGTATGTGATCCAACCACTTGCTCTCGAAGAAAATAATCTGAATAATAAACTGCTGACCTGCTACATAGTGCATGTGAAAATGAAAGTAACAGGAAAATCAATTGCATCCGGCATACTAGATATAAGTTTGACAGCTTCATGTGAATGACCTTCAATGCCTCAAATATACTTATTTATATATAAATTATATATCATATATGCATTGTGTCTGTACTGCTTCATGGAGCTGTTTGCACTTGCGCTCTAGCAACATGAGCCACTTTGTCTTTATTTACAGTACGTGTGTGTGTGTGTGTGTGTGTGTGTGTGTGTGTGTAAGAGCCACCTGCCCAGTATTTACATCATAAACCACTCAGGTGTGGCTGTTGACCTACGGGGTCGACTGAGACCACTTCGCCCTATCTCACCATTTCTTTTCTTTCTTTTGTGGTCTTCCAGCCTGGACAGCGCTGTCCAACAGCTGGATGCAGCTATTAATAAGCCTGACCCACAGCTTTAATTAAAAAATATAAAATATGACAGTTAATTCTTTCATTTGGTGCCATTAAAGGGAACCTGTTGCACCCTCCACACCCCGACTTCCAACGTCTCTGAGGACAGTGGGTCCTGTTTTAGTCTGATTAGGAACATAAGCTTGTCACTTAACAAACATCTGGGCTGTGGTCACAGTCTCTGCAGCACTATAGCCTGTAAACTAAATCCTCTTGATAAGTCTTTAATGAAATGGGTTTTGACAGATATATATATTACGGCTACGTCAGTGGGTAAGTTGATCCTGACTGGTAGGAAAACCCTGCTGCTTTTGCTCTCAGTGGAGTAATTACAGGTGTGTCCAAACAAACACTGGCTTAATGAGATTAGCTCCTGGGACGCCAGCACAGACGTGGGACACAAGAGAGCCCATGACCAAATGTGTGTGACGGGAACCCTCTCCGAGATGATGAGCCGCATACAATATTGATTAGAGGTTAATGAGGGTCGCACTCAAAACCCGAGACAGTTTACTTCCTCTAAACGTGATGCTACAATTAATTTCTTGTATGACTAACAAATTGGTGTTGTTTATTTGTTCTTTTGTAGCTCTCTGCACCTCCAGTTTGGAAATCTTCCTACAATGGCAGCGGTGAGTCCATACCATAGCTGCTGTTCCACCTGTGCACCGTGAAAAGAGTCAGTAATGTCAACGACACATTTATTTGCATCAACAGTGAAGACTATGCTGATTTGTATCTCTTGGTTTTGCATAGGGATGGGCAATTAAATATCAGTGTGATGTTATGGTACAGTTGTAATTCACAATGCCAGTGATACAAGTAAAGTCTTGTTAAGTTACAATCTTGTTATGTAGGTCTGTGACATACAGCCATGCAGCATAGGGGAATGTAGTGCAAAAAGTACAATAAAGAATCACAAAATAAGAGTATTATAAGATATAATAGAAAAAGACTATAATGAAAAATATATACACTATATGCAATATGTAGTAAAGTTGATGTGCAAAATATGTTGAGCAGTGTACATTTAAAGATATAGTTTGTACAAAAAATTATTTAAGTAAAACTTGTTATGTTGTGTGTAATGTTATGTTACTCATGATTCTACCTTGCAGTTCAATGCAATTTGTCAGCAGTCTACTGACTGACTGAAGTGATGCAATATATTAGTGTAAAAAATCCTTTTGGTTATTGTGATTCTAATTTCAACTAAAACCTAAAAAATATTCTCCTAATGGATGTAAAAGGTTTGCAGTGACTTAAAGTTTATCCTGCATTTTGAAATGATAAAACACATCTCTCTCTGACATTTTAATAGAGGAATAACTGCGCTGTGTAGCGTTACTTACCTTGTAGATGTCTTTAAAGCTCCCATCCATGTGTGTTTTAAGACATATAAAATACTCTTTGGATAATAATTAGACAGATTTTGGTTTGAAAAGCACATCTTCTCTTCAGAATCTATGGAAATGCAAATATTCTTCATCTCAAAAGTTTAACAGCTGGACGGGAAATGTCTCATATACTTCATTGAGATGTGTATGCTGGATGATTCGAATTTCAACATCAAGTTTTTGATGCTCGATTGGATCCAAACTAATTGTGACACCAGAAACTTCCTGCTCATATAGCTTGAACTTGGAGAAACTTTCCCTCTCCAGCAGATCAATGTGAAAACTTAGTGTCCTGAAGGTCCAACTTAAGTAACAATAATCAAAACGCACCTTTTGAGGGGACTTTAAGCTTTGTGTCTGTCTGCATATTAATAATAAATAAATGGTTGTAATTTGTTTGATTTATGACCAGATTGGAAACCGTGGAACCGTGACCGAGGCGGCTGGATTTGACCCAGAGGCAGATGTCCAGAGGCTTAGAGGAGCCATGAAGGGAGCTGGTGAGTGATTCAGCCACTTTCATCCATAAAACCGTCATTAGCCAAAGATCTGTTGAATATGTACAGACCAGGCCTCCATGGGGGGAAAAATGTAATTATTAGTTTCCTCTGCCTCTCTCCTCTTCTCCAGGAAGGTTTGGAAACTAAATTCAGTGTTGCTTAGTGCTTGTGTTGTCATGGCAACTTTCTATTTCCATTGTCACTTAATTCTGCTGAGTGCGTCCTTGTACTTTGCCTCACCTCTACCCGTTGTGTTGTAAAGCTTCCTCTCCACTCCTGATATGGAGGGAAAATTAATCTAGACTTTGCTGATCGTGCAGGAAGTAGTAGTGAACTAATATCATTATGGGTTGCACTGTTCTGAAACCATGTTGGCAGGTATGTAACGTTTAAAGAGTTACACCCTAACACACATTCAGGAGTATGTAATGGTCACATTTTTTCTCCCACTATCAGCACATTCATGTAGTGGAATGCTGATGTTGTTAAGGTTTCCTAGAGTAATCATCTTCCCATGACTCTAGTTTGAGCGCTATTGCAAACAGATGGTTTCTATGCCGATGCCAAAAAAACAACTGTGTGTTAGGATCATCTCCAGGGCTGCAGTGCTAGTGCCTGAGTCTCTGTCCTACATATTTGGGGCTGAATCCTCGCCTTAAATTGAGCTCCAAGAATAGGAATGTCAAATCTAGATATTTTGCATTAATATTGGTTAAGGTTAAAAGATTCTATTTTGTATTATTTCTTGCAGGCACTGATGAGGCAGCTGTCATCGAGGTCCTAGCCCATCGTACTATTGCCCAGAGGCAGCGCGTCAAAGAGGCCTACAAACAAGCCGTGGGGAAGGTGAGAGTTTTGACTGAGCTGTACTCAAAGGCAGCAAAATGTTTTTCATCATCATCGTGCATTGAAGCAGAGAAAGCACAGAGATGAGTACTAAAAGAATTTGAGCAGTGGATGTGTCATCTCTTCTTATTCCTTTGTGTACTCTCTCATCCTTTTCACTTTAGGTGGGGTTTTGCTGCGCTAACATCGTGCTGGTAGCGTGCAAGTTAACCATTAACCGTAAATCAGAAATGAATACCACCTGTAAACAAACAACAGAGACAGAGAGGGCCTTGTAATGTGTAGGAAAGAGGAATGTGCCCCTCTATAAAATAACATACAGCGCACCCACAGAGATACGCTTCACACTGACCGTTTCTTTGTTTCACAGTTATATGGATCAATATATTAACTAAAAGGGAAGATGGGATGTTAACTGTATTGACATAATGAGATGATAATCAGTAAGATGTCGGTAAATATATCTGAAAGTTCCTGTGAGGGAGCTGCAGAAGAAGCTAAGCTTGTGAGTGGAAATCCTCGCAGGCAGAAAGAGTGAGTCATGTTGCATATTGCGCCGCCCACATGTGGTCACACAGACGAGCGGTGTGGAACAGCTCCTCTGTGTCCATAAACCACACCCTCTAGTGGGGACACAAGTGTGGAATGTGTGAAGTCATGACCCACGTCCACGCTGGCAGCACAAAAACCCCCGAGCACAAAACCGGTGTTTACTTATTTCAACATCAACGATAGTCAGCTTTCGTTACAGATCTCGAAAGCATTGAAGTACGGGGAAAAGACTTGTTGGCCGTTCTTCCTGTTAATCCATCTGTTCCCTTTCTCCTGCAGGACCTGGCTGAAGATCTGTCCTCAGAGCTGAGTGGGAACTTCAGGAGTGTCGTTCTAGGTCTGCTGATGCTGGCCCCTGTGTACGATGCCTATGAGCTGAGAAATGCAATAAAGGTCAGAGTTTCTCATTAACACAGGATAAGTCTGGGGATTGTCAAAAATTTAAAGGCCAAAACCAACAATGAATTCACCCTCTAACAAGTATTGTCCAAAGCTTGGTTTATCTCATTCTTCTGTACCACTGTTGTCCAAAAACACACCATTCATACACATCATTGCACTGTGTGACATGTTCCTTCATTACAATGAACCTGGCCACTGTAGTTTAGTTTGACTCAATCCCACATACACTTTTTTGCTGCTGTAAATTCTCGTTAGTGAATCAGATGTGTATTCATCCGTGGCTAAAAATAGTCCCCAACAATTACACAATGTACTCCTGTGTGAGTTCTAGGACATTATTGTAGTGAAAGTATTGTAATGTATTTGTGACATGTCTTCAGTAGATGGGTGGGAAAGTATTGAGACAGACAAACGCATTGTTGATTTTGGTCTTTTTATTGGATTTGTTGAGAGTAACAAAAACATAGAACATACTGTTAAACCTAGGTTTCCTGTAGTTCTTGAGTTCGTCTCACGTATTCAGTGTCTTTATATCTTGTTTTTAACGCATCCATTCACCACAGGGGGCTGGAACAGAGGAGGCTTGTCTCATCGATGTTCTCGCATCAAGGTCAAATGCTGAAATACAAACCATCAATGCTTTCTACAAGAAAGGTAAGCGTGTCCCTTCTAGGAATAGAGTTTCTGACGTCAGGACATGGTTTGTCTCCGTGTCTTCTAGCGCCTATAGGTTGTGTATGATATCTGATATTGTGGATCAGTGACTAAGCTTCTGTTCTGTGTTTGGAGATGCAATGACCTCCATTATTAGAAAACAATGGATGGCATAAATTATTCATAAAAGCCATTGCTGCTTTCTATGTGGCAGTTTATTGTTTGCTCATTTGTTCGTCTGTGGCTGCAATGACAGTAGTCAGCAAGTTTTTTCCAAGCGTGAAAATAAATGGCTTTGTCTATATTGTTGTTGTTAAGATGCATTGCTGTATCACTTACATGTATATGTTTTGTACTAATTACACTGGTGCAGTTGGTGAATTTGGATCATAATACAATGAATATTAATGAAACTGGATTCAATTGTAAATATTTCAGTTCCAAACCTTATTATTTTTTACTAACCTCATAGTATGGCTTATAACTCCTTAAACGTGCAATAATCAGTACTTTTACTTTTAGTGATTTTAGGTTAAAGTCACTCATAGTGCAGAAATCACAAAGAATGAACATATCTGCTTTTCTGTTCTGCCAATCTACTTTTGGCTTTGCTTGTTTGATTTCCTACGTCACTCGCATCAGTAGCTGTATCAAGGTGCATAAGACACCGGGATCAATTTACAAAGAAAAGGAATAATGCTTTGTTTTGCACAGTTTATATAAAAATGGATTCTATAGTTTGATAAAGAAATATAAGAGAAAATATATCTTGTAGATTTTTGTCTGAGAAAGAAAATCAGTCGCAATTAGTCTTTAATCTTTTTTTTGTTTAAAAAAAAAGAGAAAATCATATTGTGAACCCAGTATTTTGAATTATCAAATCGAACATAGTTTAACATGTAGGAAGCCACAGATATCTTTCTCAGGAGTTTGTGAGAACTAAAACAAGTAAAAGGGAAGTGAATATTGGGTTTTACAGTATATTAGTCAGGTTGATACATGAGAAGTGGGTAACTGTTTGCCAACAGCTCTAGCCATTAAAACCTAATGTATTGTTTGTACTATGTGTTTGTTTGGATTGATTTTCTGCCCTATTGTGGCCAAAATTCAGATTACATAACTATATTTTAATTTCTGTATTATGTTTTTCATGGCAGAATATGAAAAATCCTTGGAAGATGATGTGTGTGGGGACACATCTGGAATGTTTCAGAGGGTTTTGGTGTCTTTACTCACGGTGAGCAAACATTAGCCCATAACCTCTCTTACCTTGGACCAATGTGAATGTTTTAATGCCATGCTAGTTATTATAGATTATATCAAAATTTAATTCAAATTCAATTCAAAGTGATATTCAAGTGAAAAGTTTTCATTTACTTGTATTTTGCTGGGAAAAACAGCATTTCATGAGATCAGTTTTCCTTTTACTAGGAGCTTATTTGTCAGAATTAAAGTATTTTGACACACAAGATGACTCAGTATGAACTTTTAAACCACTGAAAGGGTCTGTTTAGGGAAGAGGAAGCAATAGTTTCTTCTACATCATACATTTTTTTGTAATCGTACACCCATTTTCTCTTAAGCTGCTGTGTCTTCTGCATTGCAGGCTGGACGAGATGAAAGCGACAAAGTGGACGAGGCCCAGGCTGTTCTAGATGCCAAGGCAAGAGTTCAGGTTTTTTTTTTTCTTAGATGAAAGTATGTGTGTCAGTTAGGACCCTCCAGTTTTTTAATGTTTCTGATTATAGGAAATCTATGAGGCTGGTGAGGCTCGATGGGGCACGGACGAGGTTAAATTCCTCACTGTGCTTTGTGTGAGGAACCGAAACCATCTGCTGCGAGGTATTCTTACTGCACACACACATCATGCTAACATCTGCAGACTTAATACCCTTGTGATTATTAGTGTTTTGTGTCACATGAATATACTTCCTTTTACTTAAAGGTCCAGTGTGTAAAATTTAGGAGGATCTATTGGCATTCAAATGGTTGCAATCTGCAACTTAACCACTAGATGTCACTGAATCCTGCACACTGGTCCTTTAACTTGGCTACAGGAATTATATAATAGAATTTACTCACTTTAATCTTCATTCATGTGTCATGAGTTTGATAATGAAAAATCAGTGTGTGACACTGGTGGATTTGTTCTTTAATTGGTGCCATTAATCTTATTGTTTCTCAGTGTTCGAGGAGTATCAGAAGATTTCTGGAAGAGACATCGAGGAAAGCATTAAGAGGGAGATGTCTGGCTCTCTGGAGGACGTCTTTTTGGCCATAGGTCTGTCTCTTCCTTCCAATGCACATTGGCTGCTAATTTATAAAGATTCATAAAAATAAAAGGACACACGGCAGTATAGTATGTGCTGCTGGTTTACCAAGTGGTCTGTGGAAAGTTTAGTGGAGAACCACACTGCAGTGACTGCCTGGCACCAAAGATGTCACCAAAATCTAAAAAATGAATAACTTTGGCTGTTGAAGCTCAAAAATCATAGACATTATAATCAATGTAATCAAATACAATAACTGCTAATGTTGTGAAGAATCAGAGAAATGCAGTTGTTGGTGGTGTATGCCTTTATTGTAAAGCATCTCTTTTATTTAGTCCACCCTCTGTGTGTCAAATTTGAGCTTGTAGCAGTGAATTTATTATCTTCATGTTGTGAAAGTGTTGGGATTTGTTTTTGTTTTACAGTGAAATGCATTAGGAACAAGCAAGCGTTCTTTGCAGAGCGACTATACAAATCAATGAAGGTAAATATTTTATGCTTGTGATGCAATCGGACTGATGCTATCATACTGTATTTGGTAAAAACAAGCAGGGTGCGAAGTCTGGCACAGTATAAACACATTTTCCCTCTCTTTTGTCAGGGGCTGGGCACTACGGATAGTGTCCTCATCAGAATAATGGTAGCCAGGGCTGAGATTGACATGTTGGACATTAAGGCGCAGTTCCTGAAGATGTATGGCAAGACTCTCTACTCCTTCATCAAGGTGAAGCACTAAAAACTTGGGGCGGGAAATGCTGTAGTCAGCAAAAGCTTTGCAATACATCAGCTGTGAAATAATAATAATAATAATAATAATGATTCTAACTTAATGAAATGTAGCTTTGAGCTGTTAATTTCATTATCTAAAGTCATATCATGAGTAATATTGTCTGGCTTTTTCAAAGCTAAGATTATTCCCTCCACTGATCCTTTGAAATCTCACTGATTCTCTTACTGTGCAGGGAGACACGTCCGGCGACTACCGCAAAATCCTGCTGGAGCTGTGTGGAGGCGAGTAGAAGACTCATCAGGACAACATCTAGCTCTGTCTTTATTTTGCAGACCACATTATGAGCTTTTTTCCCGTTTATGAATCACTGCATCTTATCTTTTTCTTCTTCCATGGCCTTCACATTTCACTGATTGACCACAGTGCCTTGTTTCACTGTTTGTACTGTAATACCAATTAAACCAAAGACCAGTGACCTTTTACACATGTCTGTGTTTTTGTTATTGATCCTGCGTTAAGGATTCATTTAGGGCATTAGTTAGAGAGATATATATGCTTCTCACATCTTTAAGGACATAAAAGATTAATGTTATTGACCTTCAGCTCCCGGTCTTGTTACAGCACAACATTTTCATCATTGTCCAGTCAGTGAAGTCCATTTGTTTAATTAGTAGCAATTCCTCAATGTTGAGTCAGCCCTTGACTCAATTACATTAACGGGCTGCTAGCTTGATTTGGGAGGCAGTAAAGTGTGCTCTAATCAAGTTAAGGAGGATGTCCCATAGCTCACACAACTTACAGCACCATCTCAGGGCAATAAGCCTGGAGATAATGTGCAGTGGTTGTACTCAAGGCGACCACCAGGTGGAACCAAAAACTCTCCATACGATTTGTGTTGAAGCAGCACAGGAGGATCTATCAGCGTCCTCTTTGTGAATAGTACAGCCCTCAGTGTCATGTTTTTCATTAAGCTGCAAAATATGACTCATCTGCAATATGTTTTCCCAGTAAAAACTATAACTGTAGAATATATAGCATATGTTCTTGCACTGTCAGGACAACATAAGCCACCTGGCATTGTGCTGTATACAGACTTTAACATAGGAGCACTCACCCCTGCAGGCTCTCCACAATAAGAAACTGAATAACTAAACCCTCATCAGACTGATTGTTCTCCAAGACAACCGAACAACTCCTTCCATTTATATCTTTTTTGTGAGTGGCAGCCACCCTCTGTGACCATCTGGTGAAAGCCTCATTTACTAATTTCAGACTGTTCAGAGTTTTTCATGGCATCTCTGTAGAGTCGATCCAGGCCACAGAGACGCTTTGAAACATTGTCTCAGTGGTACATTTGTTTTGTGTGAGGTTTTTTTCTTACAGCTCTTGTGCAATTGCTTATATATTTGACATTATTATAGTATCATTCCAATGAAATGTTTTAAAACTTTTTAAAGAAATGCCTCTGCTTTATTGTCTTCTATATAAATCCTTTTTACAAGCACCTTCATGTATTTGAATTTATGTCACGAAGTCTATTCATTAGACACAAAGAGGATTTGTTTTTTCATTGTGTACAATAAAACATGACTCAATGAAAGTAAACACTTTAAAAAAGAACAGGAACCACCAGATAAACCACTGTTCTTGATGATAATTTGAAGAAAGGGTCACAGCCAAGATTATGAGTGTTTTATTTTATACGTCTGTGCGCTCACTTTTGATTCAAAGTAACAAGTTGTTCTCTGAGGTTTGATATGTGCAGGAAATCCTTGATAAATGCAGGCAAACCCTAACAGATAAGGTTGTACAGCCAAAAGAACCACAACATAAGGTCACACGTGGAAATGGTTTGTTCATATGCACTTTAAAAGCTTTATGAATATCCCTTTATGGCCCTGAATAGCTGAAAGAACACAATATTGCAAATATTACCACGGCAACAGTAATTACACACACAACAAAGAGCAGACAAACATGTCCTAATGCTTACGGTACGCTCATCCCTCTGCCTGATGGCACGTGTACTGTAGGTGGAAAGCTGAGGTATAATGGATCATTAACGTCATAAAAACAAAGAGACTGCAGCTATTATTCAATGTCAAGTCAAAGGAATGCAACTGTCGCTTCAACCCTGGTGTAGCGCCATTGTTACTTTGAGGTGGAAATATGGAAATGTAAAGCAGACTCAAGAAAGTAGCTGTTTGAAACTGTAATGCTGAAACTGTAAACTAAAATGCCCACAGCCTGTACAACGAGGTGGTGGCAACTTCAATTAAATTGATGAACTGAAAATGAAATGAGATCTCCTCCTTAAAAAGATGAAATGGTACCAAACTAGCATTTCATTTTCCAAACTTTATCCCATTATCACATTTGAAATTAATCAATTAAAATGTCCCATCTATTTTGTTATGGTTTATGTAGTCTATCTAGGAGGACATTAACAGAAAAGTTAATATGCAACAATAAAAAAGTCTAATAGATTGTGTGTGTGTGTGTGTGTGTGTGTGTGTGTGTGTGTGTGTGTGTGTGTGTGTGTGTGTGTGTGTGTGTTTGTTTTGTGTGTGTGTGTGTGTGTGTGTGTGTGTGTGTGTGTGTGTGTGTGTGTGTTTGTGTTTGTTTGTGTGTGTGTGTGTGTGTGTCTGTGGGTTTATCCTACTGGCAGCTCTATGGATAATAATAATGGACAGTTCTGGTCTGTCAGTCTGTTGGTTCTCCACTTTGGTCCAGACAGAAATATCACAACACATATTGTATGCATTAACATTTGATTTCAAATCAAATGTTTGTGTTTATGGTGCACATGCTAAACTAAAACGTGTTAGCATTTAGCACCATTGTTCTGCCAAAACAGCCTCACAGAACTGTTAGCACTGCAGCAGACTAGTCTGGTTATTTTTAAAAGTAAAAAAAAGAAATCCTATTATTTTCAAGAAATATGAAGATACTCTCAAGGAGAGAGAATTTATTGAATGAGTCAAACATAATAAAGTCAAATGAAATGTCTTTTTCAAAGCAGCAGAGCATTCCTTCAGCAGTCTGATAAAGAAAACCCCAAAGATTGAAATGCCAATATGACTGTTTTTTTCTTATTAATCATACACTCTGCCCAGTTTTTACATCCGTACAATATCATTTAATCTCGTAATGCAGCTCTGCCACATATTTTTCTTTTGCAAAGGTTATAATGCTTTTGATAAAAAACCTTCTGAGAGGTTAATTCATCTGTATGTTGTGAGGTCGTAGTTAGTGGTGATGTTGGCGAGTGGACTTTCTTTTCTATATTCTTCCCCTCTCCTGTTTTCAAATGTGTTAGGCAACATGTTGTTAAATGATATTTTAATAGAAGAACTTTAACATGGAAACAATAGTACTGAATTATTACACAGTTTCATTTTTATATATATTTGATATTTATATAAACTTCATATCTCATTTATTTAATCCATACAAAACCTGAAATGTAAAAACTTAAATTTTCATGTTTACAAGGACTATTTCATGGACAGGAACAGTTTTGCTGCTTTTTATTGCCTTTAATGGACAGTGACCACTGAAGGTTGACAGGAAAGGGGTGAGAGAGAGTGGATGACACGCAGCAGAGGGCCACAGGTTGGATTCAAACCTTTGGCCACAGTATCCTGGGGCTCATCCTTGGTACATGGGGCGCCAGCTCTACCAGGTGAGCTATCCAGGCACCCCTATTATTGAAACATTATAACTGCCATGTTATTTTCTTAAAGTAAAATCATACCAGTTTCTCTTTGCTGCTTGAAAAATGTAAACATTTTATCACCAAGTCAAGAAGAAGAGAATAAAATGGTCTGCGTCTTGTTTTAATTGCAACACAACAACACAAACTGCAATTCTCTCTTCCACATTTGAAGAAACGTGATCACAAAGAAAAGACTCAGGTGGTAAAATATGTAACAAGGTCTGCAGGATGAAAAAAATACCCACCAAGGCATTGTGCGAGGGGGCAGAGCACATGGGAGAACGAACCTGGAAGATAAGATCAGAGTACAGGCCTTTGTTCTAATCACAGGGGACAGCTGAGAGCAAGGTGAGGTGGTGCGAGTCAGTTGAAGCGTTGTGTTGGTGCCCCCGCTTTTCACAAGATGATGGGATAGAAGAAGAAGGTGGTGAGACGGAGGTGACTGTTAGGGCTTCAGTCAAGGCTTCAACAAGACTGTGTGAAAGTCATGAATAGAATTTATATTAAGTTAAAGAAACTAACATAGAAAAATAATCTGTTTTCTCTCATCTCGTTAAAATGACTCCGTCATGAATCAAGGCCAAAAATTGGACTCAGGTTTTTGCAATAAATCACAGGCTGCTGCTGGATGCAGGGGAAGCAACACAGACAGCGGCAGCAATGGTAAAGGTGAATGTGAAAATGGATGAGCCAAGGGCAGAGGAGAATAAGCAGCATGAGCACGTGTAGTGCCAAGTTAATATGCTTCTTTTTCTTTGTAAGAGGTCAGCCCAGGTTTTCTTGTGTTATGTTCAAGGTGCATATCTGCGGCAAGTAAATGAGGTCAGATGTGTGTAAACAAATACAAGTTCTGACTTGACATTAAAGAGCAACATGACAAAGACATTTTGCATTTTGGGATGCAAACAGAAGTTTTTTATAAAGAAACTCCTAAAGACCTTCCCGTAGTGTCCATCATAACACCGAGATAAATCTCTATGGACTGAAATGAAATGGCATGAAATCAGCAGAGGGGCTCAGGTGAATAGTGAAAGAATGAAGAGAGCCTGGAGCAATAAAGAGCTGCTACTTACCTGAGAGGTTTACTGAACAGACTGATTCTGATTGAAATTTTGACTGTAGTAGGAAAGCACATATGTTACTAGTAACATTAACAATGATCAGATCAGCGTCATAGCATGAAGGCGGGAATTAAATTATATTCAACTTGGTCAGAGTGCACTTGCACCGCTGAATTTACTAATTAAACACGAGGGAGGACAGAAGTGTTTTCTGCATATTAACTAGATCTAAACAATGTGAGAATTTATGGCTCTCCTTGGTTCAGCATGCTTGGTGCTTGCCAACAAGGATTTCCTGCATTTGAATGATTCTACACTCACCCTGTGAAATAAGCCTATTTTATTACAATACTCATTCTGTTCATCACATTTGAATTTCTGATCAAAAAGTCTGAAAAACCTTGAACGTGTCTTAGTATTTTGCTTTGGGCCTGATTGCTGGGATTGTTGCAGATATTATCTTCTACGTTCTACATATACAGAAGCTGTTTTTGTACCACACTGGGTAACATTAAATCATGAAATAGTATCCTGTTCTCAGAAACAAAATAAAATATTAAACCACATAAATCCCAGGGCTGGCTGAATCTAGCATTGCATAGCTGCTCTTTTCTTTGAAGAATTTTACAATTATATCATGTAACGTGGCAATGAAAGGAGGCTTTTACTCTGAAAGGTTGTAATACTGTAATCAGTCACATAT